TTCTGCCCGAGAACAGCAAAGGCCGTCATACCTATGCCTATGTGCCCTTCAGTGCGGGCCAACGCAATTGCATAGGATTATTAAAATATATTAATATATATGATGTTGAAAACTCACTGAAACTTTGTGACGTGAGCTAATCTTAACGGTCTCAACAAATTCAATACTGCTTTAGTTTTGAGGCCCAAGAACAAGGCTGCCATATTCCAATCCTTAAAAGAAAAAATTTAAAATTAAAAAAAAACAATTTCGAAAATTCAAGATGTTAAAATGGATTTTAAAAGTATTATTCTCAAAGTATTGAAGTTATTCGGAAGGCCTACGTATTCACAATTTCCAAGTGAATCAGGTTTTAGTATTTTCACGCTCATCGTTTTTCCTTTTGATGGAGTCTATCTGCTTGTCCAGCTGCTGGATACGGTCCTTGATCACTTCCTTTTCCTTAAGTATTTTCTGACGCAGCTCCTTCAGCTGTTCTCGTTGCTAAAAGATAGAGGATGGTTAATCAAATTCAGAGTCTCGGCTGCATTCCATATCGTACCATTTTCAGGAAATGCACATTCTCCTTGGCCTTGCCCGCCTCATGGATCTGACTGGAAAATCTACAGGTGATCGAACAGCAGCAGGCGATTCAGTTATCGATATCATATCATATCATATCATACTCACTTCAGCAACTGTTGACAGCGCACTAATGGCGACGACTGCAACAGGCGCAGATTCTTGGCAACAAAGAAACTCAGAAACCGATGAATGGGAGTCATTTTCTTAATTTTGAGATGCTTAAAATTTTGAATAATAAATTTACAAATATAAAAGCATTGAAATTTACGAGTATATGAAAGCCAGTGGCATTTTCAAACTTCAACTTGAAGTCTAAGGTAAGGCTAAATTGAGCTGGGAATTTACTAGAAATAAATGCTGACAAAGATTATCTATATTCAGCACAAATGCCCTCTCATCCCACCACAAGCAAAACAAAAAAAAATCACAGATCTTTAGTTGTTATAAAGCTGTTATTATTTTATTGAAATTTGCAAAATGATATTTGATCGTTCTTAGGGCAGTCAGTGGCTTTTGTTTAGGCGTACCTAGTCTGGGGCCGACCAGGTTGTCGTATGGGCGCATCGTAGATGAAGGGCCGTTGCTTTGGCTGGGTGCCCGAGGAGCCGCCCCGCCAGCTGTTGCCGCCACTGTCACGAGATGGTTCTGCCACTGCGCCGGGCAGACTGCCGAGCGTCGCGATCAGAGCCAACAGCAGAAAGAAGCAGAGTGCGATGAATTTCATGATGTGCTCGGTGAAGCTTTCTCGGTGCGACTAATAGCTCAGCTCAGTGGGGCGAGGCGATTATATATGGAGACAGCAGTCGCTTGTGGCTTGCGGTAAAGCACCGAGTGGGATTTTAGCAATTTGTGTCTTCCAAGTGAGCCCCCTGATAAGCGAACACAACAAAAAAAAAAAAAAAGAAAAAAAAAAGGAAAACAAAATCACAGACTTATTTGCTCCCTCTCTCTTTCGCTCCCTCTCCCGCTCTCTGTATCTCTCTATATCTTTTGCTCGCGTTTCGCTGGTGGCTCTTCATTTGTTGGGGTTTCCTGAGGTGCTATGGACGCCGGTTTCTGCATCTGCATTAGATCAATGTCGAACTCCATTTGTTTAATGCTCCTCGTCAGATCGGTCAACATGGATTCGACGCAACGCTGTCTCTGCCAGAGCAGCTTCGAGCGGGCCTCGAGCTCAGCGCGCTCCTGTAAATGTTTATCATATATCTATGTATATATACATATCTGGCTGATCTTACCAAACGCAGTTCCTCTAGCTCCAGGTCTGTACTGTTTCGCATTACGTTAGCCAGATTAAAGTTGCTTTTGATCAAGTATTTCCTAGTACCGTCACTTGTTAGTGGTAGTAACTTTCTCTGATTTGAACTTACCATTGGGTGAAATCTTTGGTCTGCTTTAGAATTTTGCGTATTAAGTTTGCCATTTTTTTTTGTGTTTTTTTAATATTTGTCTGTATAACCGTCAGAAGCCAAGAATCTGTTTTATGAGACGAATGTTTGCTTCCATATACAAGGTATTGTTATGTTCTAACTGAAATATTTCACAATGTATACCAGTTTATCAATTTGGGATTCAGCTTGCTGGATTAGAGCATAAAATTTGGGTGTTATTCAATTCAAATGGCATAATTTAATGGCTGTATACTTTATTTTGGACGCTGCTGTATAAACACTTTTGTATGAAATTATTACTGCATACTTTTAGGCATACACATTAAATTTGATTTGCACATGCTTATCACGCTGACCTAAAGCCGTCTAACGACCTTAGTTCCGATTTTGTTTGATAATTTAACTCATAAATAGGGTTTCCATGTGTAAATAATTTTTAAAATATTTTTTGATGTTTATGATT